CAATGTTCACATGTTTGACCTCACTGCTATTGAGATTGATTATCCATATAGAAGTCAAGGTAATGCTATATTAAATGCCATTAGTCAGGGTCTATCTTATGGAAATAACAAATTAATTGTGTTAGCAAAGATAAGGATGTCGTGAGCTCTGTTGAAATTTTGGTTGCGATGGAGTGTGGGAGTGATGTTCAATTCATTGATGTTGACTGCAATAATAACCAATTTCCATTAGCAGCAGCAGTTTCCTTTTTATACTGAAAATCTGCGTGGATAAGCTGTTGCCAGGGACAAGAAGAAGCAATTTTGTCCACTTAAGTGGGAGCATTACTCCAACAGTGGTTTCATAAATGGTGTTTGTGAGACTTTAGTCAATTGGGAGTACCCTGTTGCATTTGTTATGGCACTCGAGAGAACAACGACTTGGATATCCTGTCCCATCCTTGAATCTATTTGGTCGCAGTCTCTCATTACAAGAGTGGGTTGCTCTATTGGTAAGCACCCTCCACTTCCAATCAAGAGGTTGTGAGTTCGAGTCACCCCAAAAACAAGGTGGGGAGTTCTTGGAGGGAAGGAGCCGGGGATCTATCGGAAACAGCATCTCTACCCTAGGGTAGGGGTAAGGTCTGCGTACACACTACCCTCCCCAGACCCCACTAATGGAATTATACTGGGTTGTTATTGTTGTTGTCGCTCATTCTCTATATGCAGTTTGGTGATGCGAAAACAATCTAAAATAGCATGGGTTTCGCGACAAATAGTGTTTAAAGCAGGGCGACTAGCGTGGTTGTAATTCGTGAAGAAATGAGAATGCTAATGTTGCTATGAACTCTGTTTGATACTGCGCAGTGTTTTCAATCCAACCAAAGTGACAAGATTATTGTAGGGGAATTTCAGGTAGCTGGTCAGGCACACTTTTAATTGGGGCCTCGTGGCAATTTTATACGGACAATAGATGCTGGTGTTGAGGTTTTTGTTATTTAAGATGAAATAGTCTTAAAATGAGGGTGAATGAGAAATGAAGGGAAAATAAAATTTTTGAGTAAAATTTTAAGTTTCTCCCTCTTGACAATTAGACATTGTCCCATATTGGAAGAGGAAAAGATTTTTGGTGGGTATATATATAATTGCTCTTCTTGTAGCTCTTAAAGAGTTAAGAAGAAAGCAAGCCTCGCGCCGTCGTCGCTCGCTCGCTCGGCTACGGCTACGGCTACGGATTTGAATTTGGTCAAACGATTGATTGATTAATTTTTTGGACCAAATTTATTTTGACCACCAGCTGCAATAGCAGCCGCCTAATGCTCTTCCCACCATGGCCAAGTGCTTGCTCCANGTCCAACATCAGGCTCAGCTGATTCACGTCCTGCACCTGACCCTGCTAATACTGCGGACTTGTCTCTTATTAATCAACCGGTTGCACTACGAAAAGGTATACGATCCACACTTAATCCTAATCCTCATTATGTAGGTTTAAGTTACTGTCGTCTGTCATCATCCCATTGTGCATTTGTGTCATCTTTGTCCTCTGTTTCCATTCCTAAGTCTACAGGTGAAGCACTGTCTCATCCCAAATGGCGACAGGCTATGATTGACGATATGTCTGCTTTACATATGAGTGGTACTTGGGAGCTTGTTTCTCTTCCTTCGGGTAAATAGACTGTTGGTTGTCGTTGGGTGTATGCAGTCAAAGTTGGTCCAGATGGCCAGGTTGATCGACTTAAGGCTCGTCTTGTTGCCAAAGGATATACTCTGATATTTGGACTCGATTACAGTGATACTTTCTCTCCCGTGGCTAAAATTGCATCAGTCCGCTTTTTTCTATCCATGGCTGCTGTTCGCCATTGGCCTCTCTATCAGTTGGACATTAAGAATGTATTTCTTCACGGTGACCTTGAGATGAGGTTTATATGGAGCAACCACCTAGTTTTGTTGCTCATGGGGAGTCTAATGGCCTTGTATGTCGGTAGTGCCGGTCACTCTATGGTCTAGAGCAGTCCCCTCGAGCCTGGTTTGGTAAGTTCAACAGTTATTCAGGAGTTTGGCATGACTCGTAGTGAAGCTGATCATTCTGTATTTTATCGACATTCTGCTTCAAATCTCTGTATTTATCTGGTCGTTTATATTGACGATATTGTTATTACCGACAATGATCAGGATGGTATTAGTAAGTTGAAGCAACATCTCTTTCAGCACTTTCAGACTAAGGATCTGGGTAAATTAAAGTTTTTTTGGGTATTGAGGTCGCTCAGTCTAGCTCAGGTATTGTGATCTCACAACGGAAGTATGCCTTAGATATTCTTGGGGAGACAAGAATGACAGGTTGTAGACCTGTTGACACTCCGATGGATTCGAATTCTAAACTTCTGCCAGGACAGGGGAGCCTCTTAGCGATCCTGCAAGATATAGGCGGTTGGTTGGTAAATTAAATTACCTCACAATGACTGGACCTGACATTTCTGGTTGGTAAATTAAATTACCTCACAATGACTAGACCTGACATTTCCTTTCATGTGAGTGTTGTGAGTCAGTTTATGGATCTCCCTCCGATAGTCATTGGGATGCAGTTGTCCGCATTCTTCGGTGTATAAAATCAGCTCCAGGCAAAGGCTTATTATTTGAGGATCGAGGCCATAAGCATGTTGTTGGATACTCAGATGCTGATTGGACAGGATCACCTTTTGATAGACGTCCTACGTCTGGATATTGTGTCTTAGTAGGAGGAAATTTGGTGTCTTGGAAGAGCAAGAAATAGAATGTGATTGCTCGGTCTAGTGCAGAAGCAGAATATCGAGCAATGGCTATGGCCACATGTGAGCTAATTTGGATCAAACAGTTGCTCAAGGAGTTGAAATTTGGTGAGATTAGTCAGATGAGACTTGTGTGTGATAATCAAGCTGCTCTTCATATTGCTTCAAATCCAGTGTTCCATGAGAGAACTAAACACATCGAGATTGACTGTCACTTTGTTCGAGAAAAGATACTCCTGGGAGATATTGCTACAAAATTCGTGAAGTCGAATGATCAACTTGCTGATATTTTCACCAAGTCCCTCACTGATCCTCGTATTAGTTATATATGTAACAAGTTCGGTACATATGATTTATATGCACCAGCTTGAGGGGGAGTATTAGTTTGATAGTTAAATAGTAGNATATTTTATTTGTTGAGAGTTTATACACCTAGAGTTGACTTGACAAGAATGATTATGTAATTTGGGGTTTAGGTATGTTATAAGAAACTTCAGTAAAATGATAAATTGCCTAAAAGATGTATTCTCACTCAGCTCCTTAATTAATTTTACCAGTTGTTTTGTCTTTGTTAAATCTATAGTTAAATTATAAATTTTAAATCAGTTCTAAGAAGCGGATTCAGTTCATTAGTTACGGGTTCCCGTGAACCCAGTAGCTTTTGTCCAAAATATATTTTTGTATTGAAAAATTCATTAAATGTATAAGAATATTTAGCTTGGAACCCAGTCCGTTCATCCGGTTAATATTGTATATTAACTCTATTTTTGTAGGAACCCATAAACCTAAAATCCTAGATCTGCCTTTGGTTCTATTCAGTAGGATGACAATTGCCATAATTAAATTATAGATATGTTCTAGGATGGCTCGTTGGTTAAATATCATAATTCATATGCAATCAAAATCAGCAGTTGTAATGATATTGACTGCCCAACTCGTGCAGCTCCTTAATTAATGCTACAATTTGGTACAAATAAATATTTTAATTATTGAGTCTTTTTGTAAGATAGGAATTTTGTAAAATTAAATATTCTAATTATTGAGTCTTTTGTAAACCAAATAGTTGAACAAATTTTAAATCAGTAGGATGACAATTACCTTGTTAAAAATGCAATTTGCAATATAGCTGTGTTTTCTTTATTTTCCTGATAATGACAACCACTGTTGACCTTGATATACTTAACAGTAGTTCTCAAACTTGTCTATCATTTTTTAGCCAACTTTATGCAAGTTTTTTCATTCAAACACTTCTTGTATAGATCTCTGAAAGTCTTTGCTCTACCATCAAGGTTCATCATTTGCATTGCTTCTTATTGTTATTGTTTGATTGGATATATATTAAGACAAGTAAAAGCTAAAATTTGGTGAATGAAGAAAAACGCCATTTAAATAAAAAAGTCTAATGTATATTGACGACATTAATTATTTTTTGTTCATTTTAAAATTCCTTCGACACCTCTACTTTCATGTCCCCTTTATTAGATGACGGAAAATATATGCGACTAAGTGTGTTTGGTACAATGGAAGTTATTTGCTATAGAAAATATTTTTCTTGAATAATGTTTTCCATAAAAAAATATTTTTTGGTGTTTGGTTGGTGAGTGAAAAAAATTTGTTGGAAAAAATACATGTAAAAGATTAATGATAACATTAGAAAATCAGAGAGTGTTTTGTTAAATGTTTTAGTATCGAAGATTGGTAATAATGTCTAATTGGCGGTTAGAACAGTGATATGAAGTTAAGAGTTGAGATAGTTGTGATTGAAAATGACTCCGCTCTAAAGTGAGAGGTTATTTTTCCCCATTTGGGTTGACAACCAAACATGAAAAACATTTTCCTCGAAAATGACCTATTCCAAACACATCCTAATAACAAGATAAAGGGTCAAGAGTTTTCATGTTCGTGTCCTATTACACAATAATTCCTAGTTTCTTTCAATCACTGAAATTCTTTAATTCTTCTCTTTTGTAGTGATGATATCTTAATAGTGACCAAAAGGCGACATAGTCATCTTCTTGAGACCAAATGTTTGATTCCTGGCACAAATGAGGTTGAATGTGAAGGCGTTAGTTGATTTTTCAGCTAAAAAAGAAATGAAAAAAATCATGTGCAACCTAAATTATGAGTAGTAGTTAAAGTGTCTATCTAGCTGCCCTATGCCTGCTAATTGATGCTAAAATTTGGTACTAGTAAAATATTCTAGTTGTTGAGAATTCATGAAGGTGCAGTTGAATTAATATATTCTAAATCAGTATGAAAAGGCAATTGTCATATTTAAATTGCAACTTGCAGTTTAGCTAAGTTCTATAGGAAACTTCCTTAAAAATCTCAAGAAGTATATTTAACAAATGACCACCTCTTGATATACTTGTAAATAGGAGTTGTCAAGCTTGTCTCTCTGTCATTCTGAGTTCTAACTATTCTGAGAATTTCTTCATTCACAATTCTTGTATAAACACAAGAGAAACAGAGATGGCTGCTTATGCTGCTCTAACTTCTCTGATGGGAACTATACACCTTATTTCACAATCCACTTTAGACTTGCTGGAAGGTCATAAAGAACACTTGAAATTACTCTACGAGAAAGTTGGCTCAATGCTAGAGTTTCTTGACACTAATTCTGATGATGAACCAATGAAGGATTTGCTAAAAAAGGTCAAAGATGTAGCACATAAAGTAGAAGACGAAGTTGAATCACAGCTACGACTGGTCTCAGAGAAGGATGAACATGTTCGGACAGAGGCGGACGAGAGGCTTCTTGCGATTTTGCATCAAGCAATAGAAGGCGCTGATTCTGTCACCAAAGAGCTCGTCAAGCTGAAGGAGAATATTAATATGCAAGCAGCAAATCGTTCGCTTGAGGGTTCTAGTTCACCACGATCTCATGTTTCAATCCTTGAGAATGACATGGTGGGGTACAACATTGAACAAGAGTGCATGCGTGGTCAACTTATTGGCCGTTCATCTCAACTGGAAGTTATCTCTATTGCTGGAATGGGAGGGATAGGCAAGTCAACTTTTGCCAAAAAGATGTTTTATGATCCCTCAATTTTGAGCTTCTTTGATTTCCGTGGATGGATTACTGTGTCCAAGGACTACAGTTTAAGAAAGATGCTTCTATCCCTCCTTCAAGATACTATTGTGGAGAAAGAAAAGAAAGAAAAGCTCGATAAGAAAAGCAACGGAGATCTAGCAGATCTTTTGCAGAAAAGTTTAAAGGGTAGGAGGTATTTGATCGTTGTGGATGACATATGGAGCAGGGAAGCCTGGGATGATATTAGACTATGGTTTCCCGAAAACAGTAATGCAAGTCGGATATTGTTGACTACTCGGGATATGAAGGTTGCCGAATATGCAAGCTCTCCTGAGGATCCGTTTCCAATGCGTCCCCTGGAGCTAGAGGAAAGTTGGAATTTGTTTTGCCAAAAGGCGTTTGGCAAAAAAGATTGTCCAACTGAATTTGAGAATGTCGCGAAATTAGTCGTAGAAAATTGCAAAGGATTACCACTAATGATTTCTGTAGTTGCAGGGGCTCTTTCTAGCAAGAGGAGACTAGAGGAGTGGAGGGAAGTAGCTCAAAGTGTGAGCTCTTTAGTAAACCTTGACGATTATCAACGTTGCTCAGGAGTGCTTGCTTTGAGCTACAAGCATCTTCCTTCACATTTGAAAGCCTGCTATCTGTATTTTGGAGTTTTTCCAAAAGCTAGAGAGATTTCTGTGAAGAAGTTGATTAGATTATGGGCTGCAGAGGGACTCTTAGAGCTAAAGGGGCTTGAGGGATTGGAAAAGCTAGCTTCTAATCTTTTACATGATCTTATTGATAAAAATCTGGTTGTTGTTAGCACGCGAAGTTTGTGCGGAAGAATCAAGGCGTGTAGGATTCACGATCTTCTTCATGATTTATGCTTGAGAGAAGCTAAACGCGAGATGCTTTTGTATTCTTATGTTGTAGATCCCATAAGCTATGGAGCTGGAAAGATTCTTCCTGATGGTTGTCGCTGGGTGTCAGTTCATTCAAATGGTAATTTTCGGCGCATTCTTTTTGATGATCTTACTCACAGCAAAACACGTTCTCTTCATTTTTCTGCCAATGACTTATGGCAGGATTCATTATTGAGCCTAAATCATTTTAAACTTCTCCGAGTTTTGGACTTGGAGGCTGTTGAATTCAGTTATTTCCCTAGTGAAATACTACACCTAGTAGGTTTAAGGTACTTGGCCTTGGCTATTTATAAGATTCCTGAGGATGTACCAATTTCCAATCTTTGGAATTTGCAAACTCTCGTTGTTTCTCAATCTGAACTGGACGGGCGGATAAGCTTACCAATTGGAATTTGGGGATTGTCTCAGTTGAGGCATCTCCACTGTACAAGCATGTACGTTCATTCTCCTCAAAAGGTATCGGTTAATGAAGTTAATCACCCGATTTTGGAAAAGTTGCTTAGTGTCTCTGGATTGAGTCTTTCTTGTTGCACAAAGGAAATGTTTGAAGGGATTAAGAAAGTGAAAAAATTGGGAATTTTTGGCACTGGCAACGAATTTATTGATGTGCCCGAGTGTCTAGATAATCTGATACATTTGCATGAGCTTGAGACACTAAAAATTGCAGGGTTCAATATGGACTTGCTTGATTTCGATTTCAGGCTTCCACGTCTGGTTTCTTTCCCACCAAATCTCAAGAAGTTAACACTTTCCAAAACTTATCTTCCATGGGAGGACATGACGATCATTAGCAAGTTGCCCAAACTCGAGGTGCTCCAATTGAAGAATTCAGCCTTTGTTGAAGCATGGTCAGCAGAAAGGTGGGAAGTAACAGAGATGGGATTTCCTGAATTGAAATTCGTGCTCCTTGAGAAGTTGGATCTTAAATATTGGAGAGCCGCTGATATCGATGATAATTTCCCATGCCTCGAGCGTGTCGTTATCAGAAATTGCAGTTACTTAAAACAGATTCCTAAAGTATTTGCAGATAGTGGGACACTGCAGCGAATTGAGTTATGGGGATGTTCTCCTTCCCTTGTGACTTTTGCTAAGAAGATTCAAGAAAATCATGAGGATTTGGGAAACAACATGCTTAAAGTTTATGCCTTTGACACAATTGGAGGTAAGTAAAATAATTTAGTAGTTTAGTATTGACTTTGATGCAAAATTTTCCGTGCATAACTACTACTCCTATATTATATTCTTTGATTGTAATAAGATAGGTAAAACTAAGTTGTTCATTATGACTTGTGTGCAAAATTTGAGCTCATCCAGAATTGGTTTTATATAATTCGGAAATAGTTTTGGAAGCTGGAAGTTCCCTAGTTCATTAGGTTTGAATTGATGTGCGATTCGTGGTTTTGGTGTTGTTTGATGTGATTTGAGGCTTCGAGCGAGTTCAAATCACATCTACCCATACAAAAATCACGAATCGCACATTGATTCAAGCCTAATGGACTAATGAACTTCCAACGTTCAAAACTAATGCCGAATCATATTAAACAAATTCCGAATTACCTCAAATTTTGCACACAAGTCATAAATGACACAACGAAAGGGCGGCACGTCAACAGTTGGAAAGAAGAATTTGGCTTCCTAAATCAATTATATGTAGAGAAATGCTTTTTTAACTGATTGTTGTCTGGTTAAAGTTAGATAGGTTAAATCTTGCTATAAAGTATGTGATTATACCAAGTATCCAACTTTAATAATCTCTTACTCTTGTCATGGCCGTTGTACAGAGGTAAATTCAGATGAAGTTAATGAAGAAGCAGCGGAGGGAGATATGGAGAAGACTGTCAAATCTTTAGAGCAAGAAACTGGTGAGCGAAGGTGTTTTGGTTTTCTAAAAAACTAAGTTTCCAAGTCTAAAAATCTCTGACTCTTTTCACTAAACACTTACTGTACAGGGCTTGATTCAGATGAAGATTCTGAAGATTTAGCAATGAAAGCAGTGTTAGATATGCTTCAATCTGGTACCTAATGTTTCTATTGAACTCGCTAATTTGTGTATTTATTTTTTGTTAGGGCTGAAATTAATTGGATAAATACGTTGACATATTTCTCGCATCTTTAGAGGTCTAGTCCATTAATCAAATAGAAAAAGGAAGCAAACTAGATAATATCAGAACATTAGGGAAGTGCAGATTTAGCTCGATAATGACTAGTAGAGTTCACATTTAAAATTTAATAGCCCAAAGATACTCTTAGCATGGTGTGTATACGTTTTCAAGTCTATGGGTAAATGTCCGTAAGCCAGCCCGTAGACGCGTAAAGGCACTAGTTGGGCCCGCGCCAAGCGGCCCGAAGAAACTCTTGACTTTGGTGTGATATTGTCCGTTTTGCGTCAAGTTCGCATGATTTTTCTTCAAAGACCTTACACCATTAATTGGGCATTTGGACATAAGAATTGTGAAATTCAAGAAAAAAAACAAAAAAAAAATTCAAGTGAATATGGTATTTGAAATTAGGGTTGTATTTCGACATGAATACAATTTAGAGCTGTTTTTGAATTTTTGTGAGTGATTTTAAGTGAATTTTTTTGAGAAAAACAACTTTTTGGAACTTCTAAAATTTTCGAACAATTTCTAAATTCAACTTCAAGTGAAATTTGAAATTTTTTATGTCCAAATACTGATTCCGGAAAAAAGTAAAAATACTTTTTATGGCGAAACGGCGCTAAAAGTATTCAACTCCTTATAAATAACTTATTTTTCTTTCCAACTTTCCAAGTGAGACTTTGTTTACACACATGCAACACTTGCATCTTTGATTAGCACGGAAACACCTTTTAAAATGGTGATGTCTGGTTGAAGTTAGATATGTTAAATCTTGTAAAGTAGTAGTGTATATTATCTGTTATACTGAGTTTCCAACGCTAATAATCTCTTACGGTTGTAATGGCCATTGTACAGAGTTGGATTCAGATGAAGAAGCAGCAGACATAGATGCAGAGAAGGCCGGGCAAAGTTCTAGAGGAAGAGACCGATCAAAAGCTTACGTCTATAAGAATTATTTTGCTCCTTTATTAGTAGAATTTTTTCCTAATTTTCATCTAGAAGAAACAGAGGAAGAATCAAGCAAATGAGTTTTTAAGTTAGATTTGTGAGGGAAGGTGTTTTGGTTTACTTAAAAGGTGCCAAGGAATTTGCAGATAGAACAAAACTGCAGCCCTTTTAAATCAAATGCTAGTTTTTTCTTTTGGTTTTGTTCCTGTTCTTGTTTAGTAAAATGGGTTGTATTTTATTCTCAAAACTTCTCAAGAGAAAAATAAACAGAATACATAGAGTTGCTGTGTAATAGTGCTATGGGATTTTATACTCAAATTTAGCTTGTCTAAATGTTTATTTAAATTATTTTTTTTTGGGTTTAACCATAGGGTATTTGAAACTCACTGGCCTGACTAGCTCGGATTCGTGCCACTTTGGATCCATTAAACGGGGAAGTGCTCCTTACTAGGAGTTGCTTCATTTCCGACACTTGAACCTGAGGGGTAAGTCATGCTTTCAGTATAGTTGACGTTTTCAAGGTCATCGCACACTCAGAGAAATGTGTTTGATTAGAATAATAAGACTACTTTAATTAATCCATAACCAAAAAGTTATCATGATAAAACAAAATAATTGGACAAAATTATTGAAATAACTTTATTTCTGTTATGATAAAAAATCAAAATATGGTGGATGTCTACTCTTCCTCCATGATCTTTCTCTCAAATGGTTAATGACATATTCAATGACATATTTTCTATGTTCAATGACATATTCCATGACATATTTTCTTCACTTTTCATGCCTATATAAATGCCTTGTAATAGATAGGAAAATACACACAATTGAAGAAGAAAATCTCTTCCTTCTCTCTATCTCTATTTCTTGTTCATGTTTTACTAAATTGCTTTTATTTCTTGTTCATGTTTTACTAAATTACTTTTATTCCATAACACGTTATCAGCACGAGTCTCTAACCAATTATATATATATATATATCTACAAAAAATTTCCTACATCCAGAAAGATTACAATTAGAAGTCATACATATCATCACATGGTTAAATATAAAGAGAAACTACATATGGTAAGTAATGAAATGTAAGAAGGTATGATTATCTTATACTTGTCATTCCTTTAAAATCTCATATACACACAACTTCGTACTACACCTGTATTGCATAAGCACATATTAATATTACATCTTTTATATCACATGAATGGAATAAATTTTTTGAAGTTCTATATGTTAAAATCATAGTAACAGTTAATTGTTGATATGATGCATGTCATGGTAACCAAGGATATTTTATATAAATTGTCTTATGCATATTTATGTGTTAACTATCTTCAATCTGTCCTGCCGTTTTTAACATTTTCTTTTACTTGGATGAATATTTTTTTTCTTTTGGATTTTTACACTTGCATATAGTACCAAAAAAAAGGAAATAAAAAATAAAATAAAATTGGTCATACTGATTAAAAGCATAAATCATCTTGAAGAAAACAAGAAATACTTCACATCTTTATCTAGGTTGATTAATTACTTCAAAAGCTATTGAGAAAGTATACTTCATAATTTATGGTCGTATCATTTGAAAGCAAACAATGATTAGTATGACTACT